TTTAAGCTTGGAGTTGAGCTTGTTGACGGCGGAGTTTCATGTAAATTGCTATGTAGCAGAAAGTAGAAGTCATCATCGATAAAGTTACACCCATGTTACTGATTATCAAATAAATAGAAAGGATGGAATGGTTTGCTCTTCCTCTTGTAATGTAAACAAGCCAAAAAAAGGGACTAAAGTTACTCTTACTCGCCACAGAGTTACTACTTGTCGATATAATAGCCCAAGTAAAACAGCTAAAAGTCTGCCTGTATTTATTGCAGTCAGTGTGAGGACAGACACGCCACAGAAAATGACCCCCAAGGTTCGGTTGATGAGCGAGCTATGGTAACAAATTCCAGAGTGTTCTTGGGAAATTACGTAAGCAAGATGAAACGGCTGGAAACTGAGTCCAACAATGATATCAGTGCATGCAAGATTACTGAACAAACATTTTGATGGTTGATGAAGGGAAGAAATCTTGCAGAGAGGGAAAAGAATGAGACCATTTCCCACAATGGCTGCAACGGAAATTATAAGATCAATGACGAAACAAACCTAATAAGACTTCGATCACATACGCCCGTGAAGCAATGAAATTGATCAATTCTTGTTTGGTTTGTATTTTCCGTCAGGTTCTCCATGTTATTTTATAGCAGTTACCACTCTTTCACTGCTAAAGGCGTTGAGAACTCTCCTCTTGAACACCACACTGAACATCCAAAGAACGAATCTAGTTTCCCAAATGAGCAGGTGGTGATATTTAAGTCTCTCTAGCCATGTAGGACCCTCAACTGCAGAGGTCACACGGCCACAAAAGCAACAATCTCCGAAACCGTTTGACTCCAGACACGAACCAATCCGCATAAAACAGCAATTATCCAGCATAAAAGTATAACAGCTTGAGTTCGCTTTAGTGTCACAACTTGTCAGTATCTCAGCCTCAATAACAGATAGAGAAGTCTGTCAACACTGATGGCTGTTGATATCAGTACAGTCACTCTAAACAAAACATAGTTGGATATACAAACAACCTCTTCGACGTAATACAAAATATCTATGTCGGTGTTACCAAGATCAATGTAAAGAAATAAAACAGTCACGAACAGAGGTTGTGAAAAAAGACCTACACAAAGATCGGTAGCGGCTAGACATTCAAACAAGACCTTTGCAGCGGGATGCAAAGAGGACACTTTATAAAATGTTAATAGAAGCAGAGCATTACCAAGAGATGCAGCGAAGGAAAGGACAATGTTGACAGCGAGGAGAAATGCTACTACTCCAATTGGTAATTGTGAAGATAACTGGCTTGTGAGGGTCGCCATTGGCGCTCACGTTCAGACTTGTGGCTCTGTCTTTTCCTCTTTTGGCAGAAAATGAACGTTTATTGGGCGACCCGTAATCGATATAAGAGTATTATTGTTTTGTTGAGAATTTTAACAGTTTCCATTGGATAAAAAATTCCTCCTGTTGTCTGATTTTCCGACGACAAATGTCACAGCTATAATTAGACTTTTCGCCAATAATTTGTAGAGCTTCCTTAACAAGTCAGGTTTTCTTTTCAGTTCCTGACTCATGTGTCTTTACCCTTCTTAGCCATGCTCTTTTTGTTTTAAGGTAACATATCTGCGGTTCCTTTATGATAAGCAAATGCTTTTTAGATGAAAAAAACTACATAATATACTAATGTTAAGGAACATCGTGGTCCATTCTCATAAATAAAGGAATTCTTGAACTACAAACCACAACAAAACGCTCTGATTGTCTTCTTTACTGCAATTCTCACTTCTCTGAACTTCCAGCACTAAAGAAAGAGATTCAAATTTAATTTAATGTTATCAACTGAGTTGAGAACGTAAACTGGGTACCGTATGCTAGTTTCCGTTTATTCATAACAGAAAAATTGATTACTTTGCCGCGCGTGTGTTCCCTAAATTCAGAACTCATTAGCGAGAGCCAATTTGCTGGCAAGTCAAAATATGTTAGTGAGTAGAGGTAATCTTTAACTTGGCGAAAAACATAAGCGCAAGGCTGAAAAATATTCGTGAAAATCTTAGCTCGATATCACTTTTTCCTCTGAATGAATTCGATTAGGAACTGAAGAGAAAACACAACTTTAAAATTAATGAAATTTGCTTTGAAACGAGTAGGCTGTGGTGTGCGGAAAAACAGTGTTACCACCGCAAATAGCCAGCTGAAACGAAACAATTACCTCCATGCGTCTTTTGAAGTAAAAATGAAAAAATAAGCCACAGGAAATATTGGAAAATCACCATAGGAAAAGAAAACAAAATGATATTGACCGAAAACGCTTCAACTTTGCTGCTTATCAATGTTCAACAAATTTTTTTTTCCACAAACAGTTCACATCTGCTTCCAAAAACAAAGCGTAATGACTCAATAGCTTAGTCATTAAAACCGGCTACGCTCTCACAGAAAGGCACAATCTGTCTCCTTCTGACGGTTTTTTAAGAAGTATTACGTGCTTACTTATCGGTAGCTGTTATAGTATTTAGCTAGAGACTGGCAAATTGGGTCATTAGGCTTTCAAATACTTTATTCTTAGTCGCATAAATAAACCGTTTTTGGTTGACAGATATGTCAGCCGCTTGTTTTGATAACACCAAGGGTAACAATACATGATTATTGACACACTTCAGTTGTTGTTGTACAGGTGCTGGTGTTGGTGGCCAGCCAAGACCTTTCAAGTTTATTTATATTTCCTTCATTGACATTAATTTTACAAGATATGGATAGAAAAATGATCCATTTTCCAATATTGTCTTCTCGGAAATGTTTGCATTATTACGATAAGTTGTGATGCCAATCGGCCTATTGAAAGTTTATCAAATGATTATTTCTTAACCCTTCACCAAGGTAGAGTTAACTAGTGGTGGATATTTACCAAGCTGCCAAGCGCAGATGTAAATATCTACCCCTAGCCACCGGCACTTAGATGAATATTTGTTTTTGTATATAATTTAATACTGTGAGATAAAATAATACAAAAAGATGATTTTGAATAATTTATTCCTGTAATACTCACAACATTTTTGGGCGCAAATCCCCTGGAGGTGAATGGAGAAGGATGTGCGGAGTAACGTTTTAGTGACTACTTTTGGGTTCCTTATATCTATATATGGATCGACATATGTCAGATTTGCGGGAGATTCAAAAAAAAAAAATTTAATTTAATTTCGTGTGCAGAAATTTCAAAACCCTATCTAAACGATAAATACTTCCATATAAGCATATTAAACAGTCAAAGAGATAAATACTGAAAAAAGGCAAAAACCAAAATTTTTGAGATCGACATCAGAGTCACCACCGATCTTTTGATCGACGATCGTGGTTTTATTTCACTTTCATTTAAAGGACACTCCCTGTCCCAGAAAAAAAATTGTTGTCTTAGCCCAGCCTTGAACTGGGAGAGAAATCTGAAGTTTAGTATCATCCAATAATATTCAGTAAAACAAGATTGAGGGGCATATAAAAAAGTCATTTACGTAAATTCTGAACAAAACAAGTCATGGAATAACCGCTTGTGGCACTCTGGATTCAAAGACCAGAGAGTCAGGGACTCAGAATTTATGAGCGCTACTTGTTTTCTAACAGATGGATTAATGATGAACTAAGCCACGCCGAAATGCCCTCGTTTATTTTGTCAAAGGCCTTGCTCATGTCAAGAAACACGACGACGGACAGAAAGAAAATAACTGCCGTTGCCTATTTCTCTAAAAATCATAGCACAGTACTTCTCAAGATGAAAGTTGAAGTAATGGGTTAGGCAATATCAGCGTTATATGTTAGTGCTCGTGAAAAAAACAACTGAAAATGACTGAATGAGAATCCATTATCATATTAGCTCGTCTGTGTTTCTCGAAAACGCCATCTATTGCTTGATTAAACTCGACATATTTGCTGACATGGTGCACCAGGAAAGTACGATTAGTGTCAACAATATTCAAACACAATATCCCGAGACGCCAAAATGCCTGAAACTGTGGAGATAAAAAGTAAAAAATCATGCTTCCTTGGCACTTGGAAAATCTGCCTTAGGCCAACTTCCGCACTAAGAATCATCACAATGGGGTCATTTATGTTTCAAACTTCTAAAACACTTTTCTCAGACAATGATTAGAAGCAGTGATGTGAAATAACAACATTCAAGACTAATCAGCTTAATAACGCCTATCTAATCAACAAATTGGAATAGAGAACTCGATTGAAAAGGCCGGTGAGTCAGTAGCTGTCTACAAAAAGGATAAAATGTATTGCGTTAATAATGTTTTGAGGATATGCTACTCCTGGTTGCTAAGCGAGCGTAAGCTGGGAATAGAAAAATATATACACTTATCAGAACTAACGCATGCGCAGCGCTACTGGATTTTCGTCAATCTTACTCTTTGAAGGAGGCCAGATGTCATTTTAGTTTATGGTATCCTTCAAATCTACAGTTAGATCCAGACCAGCAATTTTGCTGCAATGAATGGAGTAAACGAAACGAGTTTAGCTTAGATAAGTTTATTGAAGCATTTAGGGAGTGCTTTACAACAAGTAAATTATTCTTAATTAGATTAGGAAATATTACTTATACTAGGAACAACACTCACAAACTTGCGCAGCATTTCTGACTTGATCAGTTATAAAAATTATCTTAACAGCAATTTCTTTTTTTTTTCTTTTTTTTTTGTCTCTATCAGCCTACAGTCAATAACATCAACAAAGCACTGACAAGTGCACCAAGTGAATAAACGGTAAACTAAGAAATGCAAAAGTGAAGTAAATAAACAAGTTTTTCTTTGAAGGAAATTCCACTTAACCTCCGTTTATAAACTATGAAAATGGTTATCATCACTACCAATTAAAGCATTACTAAAGTAAAAGTACGAAAAAACCTACGTCTTAAAATAAAAAACTATGAAATATTGAGGCTGAAATTCTCGAAATATAAACTACAAATTACCACAGAGTGTTATAAGACTACAACCTTAGAGGTTCAGCAATTCTGCTATTAAGCCTCAGTCCTGCACAAGAGGAGTTGCTTCAGATGACTCCTCGTCTTCGTCACTTCCAGTTTCGTCTATATCCGCAGCAGTAAGTTGATTACCATCATACTCTTGTACGCCAGCGTCTCCGTCAAAAAGGTCTACAGCATCACTTTGGTCGTCCATATAGTTTCCAAGATCGTCTTGTTCATCCTTCGTGTACTCTAGTTGGCAAGTCTTAGGTTCTTCTTCTACTGCCTCCTTTTCAGATTGAACTGCTACAGCACCTTCATAACCAACGGTATTTTCAGGTTCACTTGTTACACCTTCTTCGTCATCAGTTTGAATTTCTGGAGGGAAGACGGAATCACTGAGGCCTTTTTCGCTTAGAGGATTGTATTCTAAAGAATCAAGATCTTCTTCTTCGATCACACAAGGGAATGGTGAGGTATCGGGTTTGTTCACCTCATTTGCGGAGCGTGCGAAAGAGGTAGGATCTTCTTTTTCAGTAACAGAAAGGCATTCTGTGGCTTCCAAATCTTCTTCCCCAGGTACAGGGGAGCATGCTGAGTTATTGGAATCTTCTTCCTCAACCACAAGGGGGCATGCTAAAGAATCAGAATTTTCTCCGTCAGTCACAAGGGGACATGCTGAAGCAGCTAGACCGTCTTCGTCCATCACCAGGGAGGATGGTAAAGGATCAATTTCTTCTTCCTCAATCGCAAGAGGGCACTCGGAGTCATCAATTTCTTCTTCCTCAATCGCAAGAGGGCACTTGGAGTCATCAACATCTTCTTCCTCGTTCTCGCTAAGGTATGGTAAAGTATCACTCTCCAAAGGGTACGCTTGGGCATCCATATCTTTCTTATCACTCTCAAAAGGGTATGCTGCGCAACCTTCTTCTTCTACTTTGATTCCGAGAGGGAAAGCTGTAGCACCATCGTCAATTCCAACCATAAAGGGATGTGCCGTAGCATCGTGCTTACCCACTTCACGGGCGAGATTTCCTGCAGCTGCCCCTTTGTCTTGTAAGTTAATAGCGAAGGGGAAAGCTGTAGCACCATCGTCAATTGCAACTAATAAGGGATGTGCAGCAGCACCGTGCTTACCCACTTCATGGGCGAGATTTGCTGTAGCTGCCCCTTTCTCTGGTACGTTAATAGCGAAAGGGAAAGCTTGAGCACCATCGTTTATTGCAATCACAAAGGGATGTGCCGTAGCACCGTGTTCACCCACTTCACGGTCGGGATCTGTTGCAGGTGCTCCTTCGTCTCCTACGTTAATTCCAGGAAGGAAAGCTGTAGCATCATCGTCCACTGCAACTGCAAAGGGATGTGCCGTAGCACCGTGTTCACCCACTTCACCGATGGGATTTGCTGCAGCTGCTCCTAGCTCGTCCGGTCCCGCATCTTCTGGGTTTGCAACAGCTCCACGGTCATCGACAAAGTTGTACTTATCCTGATCATACTTGTCATCGTCAAAGATATCTACATACGTCTATGAAAAAGATTAGAAGGTAATCAGGAACTGCATGAGCTAAAAAATCTTGAACGAATGAATTTCAAAAATTCAACAAAGAAATTCCAAAAATGAGTCACTAAAAAGAAAAAAAAGAGCAGATCAGATATCAATCACAAAGACGAGAACCATTAGTACTTGCATGAATTGATAAGAATAAAAGTCAGGTAAGGTCTTCCTTTCTGTCAAAGTTTTCCAAAAGTGTTATTTTAAGATCTGTTCCGTTCTTTCTTGTGTGTAGACAACAGAGGGAAATAAGGATGATCCAGACTAACATAACGTAACCACTCTTGCATATGTTTAAAAAGTAACATTAGTTCATGATGAAACTGAATTCACAAATTGTTAGCGGCTGGGTAGTTAATGCGTTTTGACATCACATTGAAATGAAAAGAAATTTGCAATTGACTTGGTAGGATACCAATTTCAATTTCTGAAGTATATCCTGAATTAGACGCTGTATGGCAAACCTTTGTTTTAATATATGTATCCATTGTTTGGTAGAGCTTCACAAAGTGTGGTCGGCTGGTGCTTTCGTATTTCCAGCAGTTTAACATCACCGCGTATCTATAGAAAAACACAGGGACATATGACCTCAGTAATTCTGCGGTAGGCATTAATATTGCAAGTAGCGAAGTTGAGAAACCACAACTAGTTACAAAAATAAACTGAAATGCCAAGTTTATCTCATTACATTGCAGCTCAAACGAATTCTGTGATGAAAAACCCAGCATATTCTTTATTCGACTCAACAACTTTTCATTTTAATTTTTGTAGTGACAAGATAAAAATAATTTCTTAGGAAGGCTACTTATTCAGAGCGAGTGTATCAAAAACACCTGACCACAGCAGCAATCGATGTTGCTTTTGACTTATATAACATTCCACACAAAGGAAGCAACACTTACAAACTGTCGTCGATATGTTCAGGCTTTGGCAGACGATAACCTTCTTCGATTTTTTTCATTGTCGTGGACTGAGACCATCCTTCGTAAGGAATGCCTCCTGTGGAAAAATAATGTTTTTCTGTTGGCCAAAAAAGCACACTTTTTTTTGTTGTAATCACTTTCATTCCTCTCAGCGCGATCGAAATGATTCTTCTGTCAAAACGACAATTAATTGCTGAAATACATTTCGGTTTTACATCAGATGAAAGAGTACTGTAAAAAAAAACAAATTTAAGTGTAGCGATGGATTTAAGGTTTTTCAATAATGTACTAAATACTTTCAGTTCTACTTAAACTTAAGCTTTATTTCAAGTTGCTATGCATCGTCATAATTTTATTTATCAGCGACATTGAGTGTTGCTTCTACTTCTCTATTGTACAATGCTCTTTTGTCCGCTCGGTATCACTCATCAGTTAGTAATTATGCGTGCAATTTCGGCAGGTATATTTCCTGAATATAAAGTAACAAATAAGTTAAGTACCGACAGTGAAGATTTCATACAAGACGATTCCGTAGGACCACCTGTCAAAGAAATGGAAGGATGATGATATATCTCAACTGGGTTAGAAAGATAATAATTACTTAGATACTTGGGATGTTTAGAAACATGCCATCAAGATATAAGCAACCTCCCTAAGAGAAAACGCCATATTTTTTAGTTTGATTATCCACTCATCCTTTCATCCGTCTTTTCTTGTCCTTAACAGATTGTGGATATTGCTCGTTAAACTTAATATTCATATAAATTCTCATACTACAGCTGTAACCTCAGCTGTTCCTCAGCTTGGCGTTTCCTAATGACCCTCTAATCAATAGATGAATAGAGCACTGAATATTCTAGGTTCTCTCGCTACGTTAAGGTAGAATCGTAAAAAATATTCACTTATGGAAAATATTTAGATAATAACCAATACAGTACGTACACATCGCTTTTGGTTGACAGCTGTTCCACATGTCCAAAGAGAATCTCGGGTGCAGTCCATTTGATTGGGATACATCCCTAGATGAGTAACCAAAATATTATAAACATCTGAAATCTAAAGAGGCTTGTATACAGCTCCTAAAATAATTTGCATATAAGATTAAAACCGTGATGTGAGGATTCACGATAAAGTCAATAGCAGTAGACACCTTTGTACAAATTCTATGAAAACAATTCACACACTCCTTTTGCTTTAAATTTTTCTGTTACTTTGCCCTTCGAGTTTGTATCTTTGTTATTCAGAGAACGATATCTCTTCCGGCTTTCTTATTTCCTGTGTTCATTCTTTTTTTTCTGTGAAAGCTTCGATACGCTTAGGATGGCTTCCCATTAAAAGGAAATATGTTTTGCAGAAAGACTGTATAACTGAAAAGAAAGGTTTGTAAGGACAGTAATATTTAATTCTTCACATTTTTATCTTCCATACCAGCAGCCCCAAAACCAATTGACTAAATGATGAAAAAATTCTGAAAACTACCTTCTTGGCATTTCCTGGGCCGTATTTGAAATCCTGATAAGAGAGCCCAAAGTCAGTCAACTTGCAGACACGATGCTCATCAAGAAGGATGTTACGAGCTGCAAGATCGCGATGAATTATCTGAAATCGAAAACAAATAATTATTTGATCTGCTAAAAGGGGCTTTTATAAACTACAAAAAATAAAAAAAAGTAAAATATAGGTAGAAAGTTTAACATCATGCTAATGTCAGACTATTTCTCGGTGAAATAGTGACTCTAATGTGCTGGATATTTTTAGCCGTATGGAGTATTACTTTGACGATTTGCAAGACATGCCATTTTATCACATGCAGGACCTCATGCTGACCAGAAAGAGTTTGAGCACTTACCCCTCTGGACGCGAGGAAAGTCATACCATGTGCGATTTGTTTAGCAAACAGCACCATGTCATATGTTGTCAAGTGGTCGACCCCTCCGACCCCATGATGATATTGGTCGAAAACCCCCCTGGATTTTCTGAGATAACCCAGCAAGTCACCTCGCCACAGGTACTCCATGATAAGTATTGGCTGAGCTAAAAGGGAAAAACAAGAAAATTATTTTACGGCAAGCAGTGCAGAAGTTCCAAAACGTGTTTGAATTGTACATGCTTTATCTAGTTATACCTCAGGTTATATCTGTAATGAATCAAAATAGAGACAGAGAGGGAAAGTGAAAGAAGAAAACACACAGATAGAAAATAGACGGACACATACGGCTGATAGAAATCTACAGACAGACAGAAAAAACAGAGATGGCAGATAAATAGACAAAGACTTGCCATTGTAAGTTGAAGTTTTTATCACAATCAGCATGTTGATTTTAGAGCTAACATCCTCCAAGTAAAATGCCCCTCATACAGTGCGAAGTAAATTAATTTAAAACAGTCAAACAATTGAAAATAACCATTGAGTTAGTACACCATCTTAGCAAGGACTAAGAATACTGATAGAAGTAATTGTACCAGTGGTTGAACTCAGAGATGTCTCTATCGTTGCTGTGAATTAGCTGATTATAATCATAACAATAGCTGATTACCTCCAACTGTGACACAACCAATGAACTTAACAACATTTTCATGGCCCTCCCTTCCAAAGAGTTTTAATAACTCGATCTCTCTCAGCAGGGCCTTCCTTCCTTTCTCTCCGGAGATTGCTAGGAAACCACACAAAAATTAGATAAACAAACAAACTTTGCATGTCAAGAGAGACAATTAATTATGTGGTAAACATCCACATATAGAATTGTTGTATACTTGATGTTATATTACTAGCGCAAATTATGATGCATTTGGTCTACATAAAAAAAAAATTAGGTAACTAAACTCCATATAATCCATACTTGCCAAAAATGTCAGTTAGCCGTATTGTTCACTGTATTGAACATGAAATTTACAAAATAAATTCATCCTCGTTGAAAAAATCATTTGGTTAGGAAAACGCTGCTCATCTCGAGCATTGAATCGCGCAATTGTTTACAGACAACTTACAAAAGTAGAGACGCAATTAAGCCTAGAAATTCCACCTGTTATAATACCTAATAGTCGGTCGAATAGATATTTGAAAAGATATGCTCTGTTTCCGCCTTCTTGTTTCCTACCGTTCATATGGTACATAATCCTTGCTTTTATCCTAATAAAAGCTACAGTAACTCGTGAGCATTTCCGGAGCTATTGTAAATTCATTTGACTCTGTCAGCTTGTTACAGTCCAACCTGTATTTAGCGGTCATGCACGGAAAATGGTTGACCGTTTAATATGGGTTCCACGGAATAGGGCTACTACTGATAAAAGTTAGAAAACGCCACTCTAAGCCATCACGGACCACATAACATACACAACCTCGCTCAAAAATATTACTAACATTGATTTCGGGAGATAAACATAAATTCAATTTTACTTGAAAAATTATTCTTAATTTTACTTGAGTACTTCCGCTTTAGTGACCGTTCAATAAAGGTGGGGAATATTACAAATAGGCTGTTGGGACTTAGTAAAGGGTGACCACAACCGCTTGATATAAAAAGTACTATAAGTAAAGGAGGAAAGTTTCGGGATTTTCAAAACTGACCGCTTAATACAGGTCCTACTGCATTGTAATTTTCAGCTTTTCCAGCGGAAGAAGCTCATACTACCATCACTAGACTGGCAAATTGCTTCGAGATTTTTTCGCTAGACTCACCCTCTCAAGGTTTCTTTGAGATCTCATGACATTATTTCCCATCAAAAACTTCAAAGCGGGTAACTTTGCAAAATATACGACGGAGTGACATATTTCTAGTATTGTATTATTTTCCGCTTTTATACACTTGAATGCAATTTAATCAATAAATTTTCATTTTTCTTCACAGCTTCTAATACTCCAAATGATATTCGTGTTCTGTTCTGTTTTAGTAGCGTTGTATGACAAAAGATTTAACAACTGGTCACCCCCGGGAACCATCCGCTAACAATTAATTTGACATGCCAGCTGATAAATCATTTGAACAGCGCATAGTTTTTAAGCTATCCATGTTATGTATCAGGTAGGTTAATAAAGCATGTTCTAAGAGAAATACTCTTTATTAGGATAAATTACTTAAAAAATTAATAAAGGATAGTTCAATCAAGCTTTGTATGAAAGAAAGACCTGAAAAAGTACTTACGTAGGTAGCATTTCGCAGCAACTGTGCGATTTCCAGGTCTGCCACGGGAACGACCCAGTAGCGCTCGCCACACTGAACCGAATGCCCCTTTGCCAATATGCTCGCGAAGGATCAGGCGGTCAACTGCAATCTCCCATCCGTCTGTGTTTGCGTTCAGCTGATCCATCTCAACTTCATCTTCCCCTTCACTGAATAATTGCAGATGAAAACAAGACTTTAACTATCTGTGTTACCTATCTATCTTTTCCTTCTTTGAATCTGGTTTAACATAACGTAGTGAAGATATATATCTTCAATTTAAATTTTTTTCTTTTCATTTCATTTCCGGGTGCTTCAGAAAATTATCACTTGCCAATGAAAAATTATTGAACTAGGTGAAATTTGGATGCTAATTTACTGAACCCGGTTTTTCGACGCTTCGACCCAGAGAGGAGATTTTATTGAAAAAAAATTGAATAAAGATAGAAGATAACCTCAAAATAACCTAACCTGACTGTTTTTCGGCATTTTACATCATATAAATATCGTGCCTCCTACGCGAGAAATAAAATACTAACCAAACCATCCGAAGTATTGTCTACAATCGATATATCGAGTGGTATTTTAAATCGGTCTACAAGACTCCGAGTGTATTTCAACTGTAGTTTCTGTAACAAAAAGTGACGAAGGGTCAAAGCTTCTCTTCTTCTTTAAAAGTACGCCACCCACAACCATGCATACTGGTAACAAAAAAAAAGATACTAAACAAGGTGTTAAAACAATTGAAGGACGAACGAATCCAAAACAGAAAGAATATTAGGAAACATTTGACTGCCATTTGATAAGAACCTCTTAGAAACTGCAGCTGCATCGAAAGAAAAACCTTTTATTTTAGCCAGTGTGCTCTTAATGGTGAATATAATCGGTCCAAACTGATAACAAAAGACGTATTTGCTCAGCAGTGACACTTATCACTTCTCTACAAAATCTTATTCAAGAGTTAGAAACTTCAGAAATAACCACACGTTCAAACAGTGAGCAAAAAAAAAAGAAAAAAGAAAAAAAATTCACTTACTGCAGCCTGGGTGGCACCTCAGGTGGGGCTATTAACAAAGGATATGTGGAAAAAGATCGAAGAAATAGCTTCGTTGTGAGTAAGAATGACATCATTAACTTAGTGAAAGTTTGCGACTCAGAAACCACGTGTATCAAATATTTGCCTCTGTTGTCAAACAACGACAGATGGAATATGGCTGGTTGTCATGGTAATCAGCTTGATATAATTTTTAACCTTTTTGTAATTTGATTGGTTAGTGGACTTTCCGGAACTAAAGAAGGACCTTCAAAATCAGTGCTGGAAATGCACAATATGACCTGCCTATAATAGCTCACTGACATAAAATTCTAATAAAATTTCTGTGTAATGGCAGTATAATTTGAATTTGCACAAATGAAGAGTGACGTGATATTTCCTGAATTTATAATTGTTATCAAAGCATATGCAGATGTGAAAAAACTCTACAATTAGCATTTTTGGCCGGACACGAGTAATTCTTATAAAAATATCACTACTCTTAGACTCTTAGCTCAGTGTTCCCCACCCCCCCCCCACCCACACATTTCCTTATTTTACTTTCAGAAAAAGAAATCTAAAATAACACAGAAAAATGGACGTCACCTGCCCTTCGACGCTTGCAGAAAGACCAGGCAATTAGCGAAATGACAGTCGCTGCCGCCACTAATCCACCAATGTAATACCATAAAGTGTTGAAACTTTGCATAGCTCGTGGCACTTGCTTCGCTAATTGTGTAAGATAAATATGTGGCCATTAGAGAAATCTCGACGGTAGTAAAAGAACTGATAAAATTCAAGTTGTTTGGAATAGCTTTGTAATAGCTTGGAGCATTATTTAACCCTTGACTGACACCTGCTCTTAAAAGCAAAATAACTGAAATTCACAGAGCAATGCAAGGTAATTTCATGCAGATGGGTCAGGTGACCCACATTTGTTTCATCTTTAACTGAAAAATAGTTTTAATCTGTTTGGAAAAATATTTTTCAATTAATAAAGTTTTATGCCTTTTTAAAACACAACAGTAACACCAGCTTACCTTTGATGTTTATTTTTACAAAGGAACGGTCAACAATACCGAGCTTATTACGTCCCTCACAAGAATACACACCACTGTCCTCCTTCTCAACTTCAGTTATTGCAAATGTGCTCTTCTTGTCATCGAATCGCGTATCAATCTTTGCTCTTTCAGGTGGTGAGTCTTTATCTTTTTTCCAAGTTACATTTATTGTTTCTTCATTGACGATGCAGGTCAACGTGAGGTTGTCTCCTGCTGTGATTGCTGGATATTGATCTGGAAAAACTTGAACAGAGGCTTTTCCTGCGTTATGAAAAAGGCAACTGATTAAAATCCTGGTCCATATTTGTCACCCTCATCGTCAGCATCACTTCAGTGTTGGCGTCACATCATCTTCATCGCCATGGATATCGTCAGCGTCATCGTCAAAGTGAGCGTCATCGTTATTGTTATCGTCATCATTATCGTCATTATCATTAAACTTACCGTATACACGCAGTGTTGCAGATGAACTAGTTGTATTTGCTTTATTTTTCGCTTCACACTTGTAAGTCCCTTCCATCCCTTTTGTGACGCTTAAAAATTCTAGGAATGATTCTCCTTCGTGATTGGTTTGATTGATACCAGATGGCAGTTCAGCATTATTAAAAATCCAGACTAATGTTGGTGCTGGCACACCTGAGGCTCGGCAACTAAAGTTCACAGAGTTTCCTTCAGTAACAGACTGGTTTATCGGAGGCTCTATAATCTGTGGAGATACTTCAATAAAAAAAAATCCAAAATTAATAAGGTTTGTATAGTCCATTTTAACTCCATTTATCCAACCTTTGGTAAAACGACGAAACAACAACAACAAAAAAATCAAAACAATAAAGGCGATGTTCGAGTCTATTTTTAACCAAGGTCAATTTTTTCCAAAGGTTTTCTTCGCGTTAAGCATAAAAAGATATTGCTTTGCCTTAAGTTGCTCCAGTTGTGCCGATAACCTTCACTTATTTCTTTCTGGTTGTTGAGTGTGAAGTTAAAAACATATATGTTTAATGACTATCAGTTTTATTTTTTAGCAGTATTTATTGAATTGAAAAGTTATCAGGCAATGATGATCAAAACAATGTGAAACATTCGCATTTTGTGATAAAGAAAAGGAAATATGTCATTTGACGTCTCCAAATTGAGTATTTTGACATGCGTCCATGGATAAAAATGTTAGAGTGGACCACAGGATTTGGAATTCCTTAATAGCGGGAGGTGTTTTTCATTATTTCTTTGGTTATGGATTTATCTTCATTTACAATCTGGGTGTTTGTAAGTCAGAATCAACTCTAAGTGACCAAGAAATGGATGAAAAGAGAAAAAAATAGGTCTATTTAAATTTGGCTTAAACTTTAAAACAAACGCTCTGTTAAGTTGCAAGTTTGATAAATGACATAAACTACAATTTTGGGTTTACCTGTGACATCGATCCAGAAGGAAGAGTTTGCTTCGCCATAATCATTTTTAGCAGTACATTCATAATGGCCTTTATCTTTAAACATCGCTTTTCTAATAACCAAGGTGTTGTTTTTACTAATTAGCACTCCATCCTTGGTCCAGTTGACATATACTTGTGGGTCACCTCTAAAATAACACTCTCTAATAAATGGGTAGCCAAATGCAATGGTGAGATTTCTAGACTCATTACGAACATGGGGTGGAACTGCAAAGTAAGCATGTAAACACAAATTACAAAATGAGAAGCCAGCCAACCTCCCCCCCTCCCCCACCCGCAAAAAGAAAAAAAAATTACAAGAATAAATAACAATAAAAAGAAGGAGAAGAAGACAACGAGCCACTTTTTTACCATATCAAACAAATCCTTCCAAAAACCATGTCCGTCAGGCTATATTACTAACTTATCCATGAAATCATCAAATAGTTAGAATGGGAACAAAGGAACAATTCCAACAAGACTTTCCAGTTCTTCGCAATAAATAACTAATGAAGTGTTCTGAAAAAAATATTCATCCAGGACCTGGTCGTCACTGGTGAATCAGTCGCAGATAATAGCTGAAAGCCCTTACATGTTTTTAATTTTTCTGATAGTTTTCTACAATTACCTTACCCTTAGCTCAGACCCAGACACCTTAACCTAGAGTCGGGCCCACTGACTATTGATCCGCACTCCGTAGATGCATCAATTGCATGATTGATTTATAATACAGTTGTGAGCTTTACAAACACACCCTTTACAGAAATATCAATGTCTTTGGTAGAAATGCCTGCTTCATTCTCTGCCTTACAAGTGTACTGCCCTTCGTCCTCCTTTGTTATCTCAGAAAAGAAGAGAGTCAAACTCTCTCCTTGCAATGTATTATTCTTGAGCCAGGTGATCTGTGGTTCAGGCCGACCCACCACAACTTTACACGTAAGGTTTACACTGCTTCCTTCTATGATGAGATTGCGTGCTTTTATGATGAGATTGCGTGCTCCAGAAATATGAACTTCTGGTCGAACTAAAAGGTAAATAAATAACATATTATTGGAAAATCGGAGGTATTCCTATATCATTTATATTGAACACATCAGACTTCGTAACTAAATGAACATTTGATGATGATAGTAGCGCTTCATATGAAGTATAATCGTTTGTCAGATTGCGAACCTTTCGAACTTCGTATTGAGGTCTACATAGTCCTTTTATCTCGGACCAGTTTACGTAAGAGAAAAGGTGCAGCCAGGGGGAATCTGGTCTCCGCCCTTATTGCTAATCTCCACATATAGAGTTATAGGAGCAATCGATAACCTTATCATCTAACCAGCGAAGGATCTGGAAACGCTATGTATATGACTCATTCACAATCTTGGCTCGCGAAAACGCTAATAGTTTCCTACAGCATTTGAAGAACCGAAAGCATTACATTCACTTCACTGATGTTACAAATAGTAACAACACACCCACCATCCATGGCACTGCACCTTTAAAACAGGAGCCCGTGGTTTACAAGATTCTATGTGAGTGCGGCAAAATTTAGATTGGCGGAACAGGCAGACCTATCGAAGTAAGGTTAAACGAGCAACATGGCAGATCGAGAAACGACATGCTAAGACAAAGGCCTCTGCAGTTTCAGAAGACACCTGGAAACCACCGGGTCTGGACTGAAGTAGAGTATATTAATAGTGATCCTATCATTATAAACGCAGGGTAAAAGAGGCCATCCACATAAGACTTTGCCTGTTACAGCATAAATTGGACATTGCGGTAGACATCCCAGAAACATGGATGCTGACCACAAGAAACACAAAAACAGGATAACTTTGCGACAGTGGACTCCGGAAGAACATTTGGTCAAAGTGTGCCAATCGAAGCTTTTGTGGGATTCCAGGCAATCAAAGCCAAACAGAAAGTTTCATAAAGGTCATGCATATCAACCGACTTTATAGCACGAAGACACAATATGCAGTCAAAAAGTCGCGATCCATATCCAAAGTGTCTTCATGGCGAGACAAACGATTATGCTGCATTCAGAAAGTGAATTTGTCACCACGACCAACCGAAGTCGATTTAAGCACATTACCAGTTTGGAAAGAAACTATAAACTTCATCAGAGGGCACTTACTTTGAGTTATAACGAGGAAACTACACTGTTGACAAATAACTTAAGTATAATTTTTTTAACATGACACCCTACTTTCAAGCAACTAAAACGAACGAACATGTTCACGATAAAATGTCGCCTCACATAGCTGCGAATATGAACAGCGAAAAGGTTTTGAAATTGAATAAATTAAATTAATCACATTTGAAGAACTGACTTTATGACCTTCTATATATTATCTCATCGGTCACTCACTTATAACTCTCACTCGTATGTTTTTATCTTTGCTTGTGACCCTCTTTGCTCCTTTAGTTTGTTTCATGGTACAAGTGAGTGTTCCATCGTCTTCAGGCTTTACAAAACCAATACGCAGGCTACCGTTGGATACTTGAGTGAATCGTTTCGGGTCTAAGGACTTTCCTCCTTCCTTACTCCAAGAAATCTGTGGATTTGGTTTTCCATCAGCATTACAGCTTATAATGCCAGACTCGGACGCAATAACGGTTTGTTGGCTCAACGTCTTCTCAGTAAATCTTGCTGTTGAAAGGAGTAATGAAAAGTACTAATATCATAGCTACACTTTTGAAAGGTCAGAGGTGTACTTGTCCTACATGACATTGTCATGCATGTTAAGCCTATTTCTACAATATAAAAAGATTTTTTTTTCATACCATTAATGTAGACAATGTTATATTGAACATATTCCAATCTCTTGCATTCATATATTCCTCCATCAGACAGCTGCACATCTTTAATGAACAGATCACCATTGTCTCCAGCCCTGATCCTTTGAGAAGTAGAGTTTGTTATTTCAAGCTTTCGCCCATTGATGACCCATCTAGCATAATTGGTTTTATTGTGTATAGAGCAGTGAAGCTTTTCTCCGCTACCAATTTCAAAATAGAGTTCAACCCCTTTCAACACATTCTTGTTCTCTGCAAAAAAAAAAAAATGGTTCGGTGTGGAAGATGTTGTCAAAATAAGTCAAATTTTTTGTAATTAACACTATAAAAAGAAAAAAGTTGAATATATTTACCTGTACTAAAGCTTAACTTGTCAAATTTTTTAAATTTTGTCATACTTAAAACTAAGTTATATTACTCCAAACAAAGTCATGTCAGCCATTATTAACGTAATGTAACCTTTGAATAGAATTATATCGCATCCAAAAATGGTTATGTAACCCATTAAAAAATAATTAGGTAACCCTTAACTGAAGTCAAGTGATCTTATGAGCAGTCATGTTACCTTCATGAAAGTCATGTACACCCTAGCTAACGTCATTTTACCTCAAGACCAAGTTGAATCATCTATAGGGAGGGTAAGTTTCTTAAGAGCTAATGTTAACATGCATCAGAGAAACAACGGCAAGTCACCCAAAATTTGCTTTCACTCCTACTTTCATATTTTGCAGCTCAATATGTCCTTATAATTGTGGTGTAGTTTTTTGTTTGTGAAAATATATTTTAGTTTTCGAGAAATTATTTTTTTCGTTCGACCGCTCAAATATGCAAATTTTCACCGTGAATATCACTCGAGTTGTGTGACCTCATGTAACGAAGTTACTTGACCTCCCACATTTCTGTCAACATAATCCTTTTTTAACATCTAAACTTAATCCCCTCTCAGTATTGAAGCTAGCAAAGAAATATTAATTTTAAGTTGAATATTTTTATCTGACATACTTTTTCTATGTCGAAAAGTAGCACCAAAACAAAGACAGTTTTAACAATGACCGATATAGCAGAATCTACTGAGCTTCTAGTTTATAAAAGACAAAAGGATGGTTATAAAGTTACTGCAAAAATTTCATTGTTTATTTGTGTTGCTCTATCGTGAGACGAACTCAAAGTCCGGCAAAATTTGTTTATTGGCATAAATCACTACAATTTGTAAAAAAATCTAACATAACACTCTTACCTTGTTTACTTATGATTTTATAAGACCAATAAGCTGTTTCGGTCATTATATTTCGCTTCGGTATTACTTTTTTCAAGGAGCCCAAGTTTTAAGTTGTGTTTTCCCCTACCCCATTTATATCATAAGCTAGTCACGCAATAATTGATCTCAACAAAAATGAATATTTACCCTGTATGAAGATTTTTGTTTATGTTGAATTGACAATATTTGAATATGTCACTTGTGTGGCCACAAATCGTTGTTTCAGTAGCAGCGTAGCAGTTAAAAGCGGGTTGCTGGGTGCTGAAAGGGGGTGTATTGACCAATTCCCAATCGAGACTTAAGTCTGACGGGGCACGTAATTTTGCACAAGGCGGTATTATGAATTTTCTAGACGTCTTGCGTACTGTCTGTGGTACACGCTTGCCAATTCCCCAATCAGCTTTTGGAATCGACTTAACCCTACCTTTACCACGGCCGTACACTTCTTTAGGCACCCAACACCGGTGTCTCAGCGGATTTGGACCCCCCTGGATTTGGACCCCCGGTTCAAATCCGCCAGCGGATATGGATCCCCCGGTCCGAATCTGCTAGCGGATACGGATTTGGACCCCCCCAACAAAACTGAGTGAAAACATCATCCTTAACGTTCTAGTAAAAATGGATGATACTTTACGTTCCAGTGCGTACTAAAGTATGTTTTTAATTCAAAACATGCGTATCGTTAATGCATACGAACTGGCATCCCGTCGGATTTTTCTTTCGACTAAGGGAAAATGGGCAAGAATTTAGTTTAATGTCTGGAGAAAGGTCATTTTTGAACCTCTTTCGCGATATTCGAATACCGCTAGACTCAATAAGAGACAAACTTGTGACACTAACTTATTTTGTCACTGTTCAATGCCCGAGTGTTGGAATGAAGTGGTGCAGTGCGAGTTGTGCGAGGAATGGTTACACATGAACTGCGAGGGATTTAAGACCGCCCCGAGGGCGAGTGGCTCTGCATTGTCTGCAGATTGCCAGACCGGGGGGTCCAAATCCGCTGTGACACCGGTACCGATACTTGATCTACGAGTGGGGCAGATTGTGAAATCATCGGTATCTTTTGGCGTCCTGAAGATGCCGGGTTGCGACAAAATAAGACCAACTTCAGTTTCTGGATCTCCGCAAGTGACTTGAAATGTCTTTTTTACAACTACGCAAGGGAACGACCTGAGATATGCAACGTCGGTCTTCTCGATAACGATACCCAAAAGTCCCACCAGCGAACGATTTAAATGAACAGCAAATCTCCTTGTTAGCATGTAAGATGAGACGCTTACACAACAGATCAATTAGCTAAATCAATATGTAGCTTGTCAATCGAATTGACTTTTGTGAACATTCTTTGACTTCCGCCGGCAAAGGAACCAATGATGGATCTGGATATTTTAGTTTTCTGAATACAGTAATTCCTGGAAGGTTTTTATAGGTATGCAGATATGCAAAGAGGGAAAAAGAACCTATCTCTTGGTAATTCGGAGGTTGATTCATGCTTGAATTTGTATCACGCTTGTCATGCAACTCATATAATAACGTGGAGAAGATTTTTAATCTGGCTAAAATGTGGTAGGGCATAACTTGATCGTCGAAACAGCTAATAAAATCATAAATAAATAAGGTAAGAGTGTTATGTCAGATTTTTTTTACAAATTGTAGTGGTTTATGCCAGTAAATGGTGGTGACAAGTAGGCAAGGGCCTGTTTACATGGAGGTGGGGGACCTCAGATAGGTGAGGTAACCCGCCTAGCCGAGGTCGAAAAATAAAACGCGTTTACATGCAATCTTACAACCCCGAGGTGCTGGGGTGAGGTTTCTTGAGGTTGTTGTTGCGCTTGCAATTAAGGAGTCTGAGCAGAGGTGTCCCAAGCTCACATCTCGAAAAAGATGGAAGATTAATTCTCGCTCACATATGTATTTATTCATGAAAGCGTCACGCGTTGTGTTACGCGGTGTTTGGTTTCGTGGGGAACCGTTGACTTAATACGTTCTACGGAATATTTTGGGAAACCAAACATGGTCAATTTACAACGCTAAATATTCCGAAATGTGAACATTTTACACTCCTTGTGTGTCCGTTACGGTTTCTGATGATTTCTGCCATTAGACGGCTAGGGTATGTACGAAGTTTTAAAACATACATATTTCGCTTTTGAGCTTTTTGCCATGAACGCGACCCCGGCTAGGCGGGTTACCCCACCTTGAGACGTCACACTTTGGCAGAATGTTTTTATAAATGGTCTTCTGGTCATCTGTGTATCTCAATTTACTCTGATTTCCCTCTACTTTAGAAGGTCAATGGGAAGAAGAAAGACAACCACGAAAACCACAGTAACTAATCAGATATAAAAATTGAGTTGCTTACTTGGTTGACACAACGCTTGAGAACCCTTGTCATCCGATTGACATTGAGGGGGAATATTTAACTTTCCATCGATGCGATCGCATGATGCAAGTTCAAACTCTTCTCCGGTGCAAGAGACATCGGACATTGCAAAAGGTATTCCCTCAGCCTTTATGTCTGACCCAATGAACTCCGCTAAAGCCTCTTCAAAGCCAAGTTGACGACAAATAACTTTGACATCATTAAAGTCCCATTTATTCCTACATATCTTTGCCCATTTCCCCTTGTAAAACACTTCCACTCTTCCTCCATACTCCACATTTGCGCCATTCAAGCGAACAGGAACTAATGAAATTACAAAAAGTTCAATCCGTTAAGATGGAAAACACTAATTATCAACAATCAAGAACGCCTATAAATCACGAAATGATAAATAGTTCATGCCAGTCTAAGTGTTTTGTTTTAAGTGAAATTCTGGGTGCAAATTATTCAGTATTCGAACGTTGGCCGCATCGTTCGTTGTCACGGTGTGGTTTCCTTGCTGCAATGTTTTACGACAAACCTCTTTTACATTGCTTCGTGACTGCGTTTTAAATTGTAAAACTAGATGTTTTTTTTCAATAATTTTGGAACATTCAAGACGTTTTTTCTTTGTCTTCGGGGAACACAAAAGGGTGATTAACATTTTAAACTAGAAAGTCATTTTAAAGCATTTCTCACAGAATAATCAAGAAAAAGGCGTTTAGTTAGGTATAAATAGAGTAAAAAAATGTGAAATTCCCTACTTGCACGAAAGAGAGAAAAAAAAGGAAACTAGAAGGATGCAATAGTTTTAAGGAAACTTAGTAAAGGGTTTGAAGTAAGGTTATGAAGTTCATGAAACCCAAATGCATAACTGCGCAGCTAGTTTCTTCTTTCGGCAGTAATTCAACTGTAATCGTCTTAGTGTGTAAACAGTAGAAACCCGCTAGATTTTTAACGATAGAAACCTTTTTAGAACCTAAAAGATACCCGAAGATGAGCGATCATTGATCGCGTAAAAGTTTTCATATCTGGAGTGTGAGTAAATCTATCAAGTTACCATCTTTGGAGATCGTGTGGATATTACATGAGTGCAACTCAATATTACCTTTGCAAAATTGTTGTTTGTTTTGACATCTGGTGGGAATGGTGCAGTTGTGGTGGGTGGACATCTCTGTGGCATTGCCACGTTCTGCGTACCATGTGTCATTAGCACCGTTGTTATAGTAGCCCATGGCCATGCAGGTTGAATTTTCATCTGCTTCATCCCATTGACTGGTACAAAGCTTTTGCCAGCTGCTGTTTGAGAATATCTTCATTGTACCAAAAGATGGGTTCTTCTCTGTTTCAAAACGCAGGGGAAATTCTTCAAATATTCAAAACAAAATTTATAAATGAGGATAACAATAAACAGCGTGAACTACTTCAGCATAGGTAAATTCTTGTGTTGATGATGTCCCCATATAATTACCTAGTAACAGTAGTCCTTACATTTTTTAAAAGCTTTCTTTTCAGTTTATGGTGGAAGAATTTCCTGTTTAGCTAGCATGATTTTCTTTGCCAGCAGGTCAATGCCAAAAGGTTATTTAGTAACTGAGGCTCTCGCATTTTTGAGCATGTTTCTCGTCATTGGATGATAGTTAGCATTACCGGATTAGCTAAAAAGGTATTGTTTACGGGCAGTCCAACAGAATTCGTAATTGCCATTGCGCAGATAGTGCAGACTTCTTACAGAGCGACCACAAATGTTAGCGAAAGCTCGTGGCAATATTTTAGTACCTATATTTTAGTACTAATGATAGTGGATATTTGTTTCATTTCTTTCAAGAAAAAAATGGTGAATTCCATACATGTAAAGAGTTTGTCCATTCATGAACTCCTGACTTTTGATAATTTGTGCATTTCACATACTTTGCCTAGATGATTATCTGATTAAAGTTCAAACCCAGTAATTCCATTCATTTGTTGTTATTCTAACTTTTATTCCTGAATTTGTTCAGTTTTTTTTTCAACAAAGAAGTTTTCATCCACGGAAATCAGAAACGCTGCAATTTGTATTTTACCTTCTTGGCAACTGGACATGTTGCTACATACTCTCAACAGTGCTCCGGTCCCATCGCAGTGTTTCCCACAACGTCCTGGTTCTGGATTGGTGCATTCTCTCTTTCTTGTTTGTATACCACCAACTGGCTTGGTACAGATACTCCAGGAGTTCCACTCACTCCAGCCACCATCCACTGACAATGCTGTAAACAAAAACATATGATAAACAACCATAGACGACATGTTTGGATCATTTAACAAATAAAGTATGTAAGACAGAGGTGCAGTCTGTATTTCTACCTTTCTCTATAATTAATTTGAATGTTTATGTCAACATCTGGTTACGGTAAACTCATTAAGTTGGTATTTGGCGCGATGCCGTAGGGTTTGCAATAAACTTTTTGAGACACGCTTGTGAGAGCAAAAATATAGTTTGAAGGCGATAATGCGATGGGAATCCGTGCTGGTCTGTCTTTACCTTTATTCCCATGTTGATGGTTTCCAGACAGACCCCGTCCTTTATGTGCAAACACTCTGGCGTGCATAATAAGTTAATGTACAAATGCACAATACACAAACTATAGCTTAAAAACAATATTTTAAGCCCCTCCTTTTTAGTGGGAACAGAAACAAACACTATGGGAAACCGTAACAAATTTCAATTATGAGTCTTAGTAGCTTTTCAGGCGAATTATGCAGCAGAAAAGGCCTTCCTAAAAACTCACTCTAACCTTCAGATCGGGTAAGATCGAAATGGACTGCTCCTTATTGGTTCCCTGACCAACATCAAGGGCCAATAGGAATAATGGAAACTCGATCCTTAATCCTAACGATCTACTTATAAAAAGGGCACAGAAGCAATTTCCATTCGGGAACGGAACTGAGAACACCACTCTACCTTTCCCTGAAAGACCTTGCTATTGCAACACCACCTTCAAACAACAGCTGAAGAGACTCGTTAAGAGTCGAAACCGTCGATGTTGTTGTAGCCACTATAAAAAGTTGCACCAATGTCCGCCTCTGACAGTTGTCTAGCGGAATACCTTACACAAAGTCTTGGTGAAGAAGACAAAAACGATATCTCACGAGAAAAAACATGTATATAGGCAACCGCTCAACGGAAAGCACACGGCGAACATTATAAAAAAAACAGTGACAAAATAGCCAAATTAAGGAATGAGATTTCTGACTTTAAAGAGCTTATTTATACTCTTGCAAATAAAATAGGTGGAAATATAGGTGTGCTCGTTAAGCAGTATAGTATCTAGATTGACGATGAATAAACACATGGGCAGAAATTATGAACTAGTTTATTCCCACACCCGAGCACGCGTTGATACGGGAACTTTAGAATGTGATGCAATCATGCGCGAGTGACGCAACGGTGACATGACATCCCCACTCGTTAAAAAAAAATATAGAGAGAGATATGCAAATACAAACAAATACTGTCTCCGAAGTCCAAGACAAAATTAATGTGACCCATTGTTCAATAATAACAAGATAATAACAAGAAAAAGAAGAAAAATGTTCCAAAAGCACTGAGGATATGGAGTGCTCTTGTGAGGTTGTACTCTGTTAATCCACTTTCTAGCAAAGTTCGTTGTCATTAAACTTCTTTGGCTTTCGTGTCATTGTCTGTTAAACAACTTACTGGGATACCGTGGCGGGCAAAGTGGGCTTTGGTGAGCACGACGATGGTGGTGGATTGATTGTTTATCAGGTTAACTCCAACTCATAGACATCACTGTAATGGTCTACGATGACTAGGTACTACTTTTGTTGGAACTCAAATAGATCTTGCGAGATGAACTGCCAAGGTCGTGTAGGGACAGGAGGGGATAGCATGATCTCTGGTGGCTTGCTTTCCACACTGGGAAAGCAAGCCGCCACTTTGCTCAGCATACTTGGTTTGAGAGAGGTAGGAACGATGGTGCGAGTCCCTAAAAAGGCTATTACTCAAATGTGTTGAGGGCTTCAACAATAGCCAGGCACTTCTTTTCGATTTGCGCATAGCGCTTCTCGGTAGTGGTTAGGCCTTTTCCTGTACGCAATAGGTCGTAGAGATGACTCGTCAAGGGCGCTGCTACTGTCTGGTTTGATGGGTTGTAAGAGGGCAGCTCCTTGGCCATAGTCTTAGGTGTCCACTTGAAGTTACATCAAAGTATGCCAGGCATGCTGCATAGTTGGCTAAGACTTTTGCTGAATCAAAGGCTTGCTGGTGCCTTGTTGACCATAGGGACGGCATGTCCTTTTTTGCTGCTGGGAGCAGAATTTTGCCAGGTAATTAATAGCCCCTAAGAATTGGCGCACTGTTTGGCTTTCGGTTGGAGTGGGCATGGCGATTATAGCTTTAATTGTGACAGGGTTGGGCTAGAGGCCCTCCATAGTGGTAACATGGCTCATGAAGGTGGCTTTGCGAATAAGGAATTTCACCTTGTTGACATTCAGCTTGACATGACGTTGTTCAAATCCCTCAAGCACGGCGATAAGGATACGGTCGTGGTCGACTGGACGTCATTGGCGCCGCAGCTAGGGATTAAGATGCCTTCGGCGATACTAAAGCCTAGGAGACCATCAAGCACCATATGAATTTGGCGCTGCCATTCTTTGGATGCAGAGGATATGCCAAATGGTTTCTTAGTCCATCTGTAGCGACCCCATGACGTGAAAATTTTGGTCATCAGAGATAACCTTAACGACAAGGGTATGTTTTGCCTATTTGACATCTATTCCTTACATGCAGCTTGTGGATGTTTTCTTCCAAGGTGGAGATGATATACTTTGGACATCGAATGGCTTTATTGAGGGTCTGAGAAGGGTCTAAGCAGCTCCATATTTTCCCGGTTTAGTGGGGGTTGGTTCTCGCTTTCGGTTGAGATACCCTTACCAGCTGGCCAGTGGTTTCATACGCATCCAGGGCCGCTTTGATCGCATCCAGCTCTGAAATGGGCTCGCAGTGATTGGGGGCATGAATGGGTTTGACATCTGGATCCAGGTCAAGACCTACGGGTGGGCTGCGGAAGCCCTAGACCTTGAAAGAGTGAGGTCCAGTTCTTGGAAGTGAATTCCAGAGTTCAAGTCCCTAGTGTAGGCCAGACCCACATTGACGTATCTGGGGGTGATAGAGGGAGCCCAGCTGCTGATACCTGATGGCTGTCAGGTTCAGTCGTTAGTGGCTTGGAAGGGTTACTTGTGGAACATTTCCTTATGAAGTCTGCACGTAGAGTCAGCATTTCACGTGCTTTGCTTGCTTGGTTGGTGGACTGTCATACAGTGGTATCACAGTTTTTGATGGTAGAATCTTGGCCCAAGGCATGCTGGAGAGGTGGCAAGATAGAAGTGTGTTTCAAGAGGTTCCCAGATCTATTTGGAAAGGAATTTGCGCTCTGCAGTTTGAGTCTGGTTTCTCCAAAAGAAGCAAGACGAAATGGCCTTTGTATGAGGATGGGGCCGTTGTAGTGACGCCAGTGTTAGGGAGTTGCCCGCTTGAGAGGGTGAAGAAGTTCTCATACTGTATGCCTTCCTTAGGAAGGGTGTAGGAGTGCTCTTCTTGTTCCACCAATCTCATGTGTTCCTGGCTGGGACCCGATGGGGTAGGTTTATGGGAGACAAGTTTGGAGGCTCGGTTGTCTTTGTCAACCTGTTGACAGACGCCTGCAAAGTGATCAGTTTTGTGACAACAGCTACAATTCTGGCCTGAAGCTAGGCATATGTCACGGTAGTGTTGCCACTTGCTGCGATAGAAAAAGCAAGATCTGTCAGGGTAGGTTCCAGGTCTTTATCTGCCCGGAGGTTTTTTGACCAATTTGTGCGCTGTCATGGAAGTGGGAGAGCGAACTTGTTCTTCTGTGGTGGAATTAGCCAAAAGCTTGTTTGTATGTTATGCCGCCTCAAACGATGTAACTTGATTCACCACGAAAGCCGGGGTGAATGGGGTATCATCCGGTTTCTGTTGGCCATCTCTGTGAAATATGTCTTCTCGGAAGCGACTGAGGGATTCGTTGAGACCGAAGAGAAACTTACCCCTAATAAATTCTTCCGCGTTCATGCCTAACCATCATCGGCCGGCGGCATTATGTGCAGCGTGCTTGTGACATTTTTCCTCGGAAGTGGTAGCGGTCTTGCATCAAACTACATGCCAAGTGTAATGTTCTTTGATTTTTTGAAGCCAAATCCAGTGTTTTCCAGTATCATCTTTCGGTATCTTGGAAGCTATTTCGCTGTGTAAGGTGTCCCATTCAGTTGCAGGAATTGCTAACTCGAAGGATCTCCTGGCGACCATGTAATGGTCCCCAGTCTCGGTGAGTCTGTCTTTAGCGGAGTTTCTGTAGCCTTCGAGTAAACATTAATCCTGAAATCTGGTCTCCCAGTAACGGTTATGGTCACGGTTTGGTCGCACAGCTTGTACATCGAGGATAGACTTTCGTGCTACGGCATGGTGCAAATGTGAAATGTTGATGAAGGTTTGATATGTTGCCGAAGAAGCTATTCAATGGTGCAATAGTGTCTACGAGAGGCTGGCTCACGGTAAAAACCGGTCCTGACACCATGTTAAGTAGTATACTTTTCTATTTCTTGACGAAGAATAAACGCAAGGGCAGCCATGATGAACTAATTTATTCACACCTACGAGGACACTTAAGAATGTGATTTAATTATGCGCGACTAATGAAACGGTCAGATGATATGTTCTCTGATTCTAAAAAAGCTGGCTTTAACAACAACGGAAACAAAAAGCATAAGGCGCAAAGAGCGTAGACACACTTTAAAATATAGGATTTAAGCCAAAGAAAGGGAGACAAATGAAACATTCCTAAAATATCTCTCAAACTATCAAATTTCTGACAGTCGAGTCAGCATGCTATCAAAGGCCTCAGATTCATTTCAACAACTGTGACAAAAGAATGTCAAATTAGGCAGCAACTCTTGCAAAATTTTGAACAATTTGGAAGACGAATGCGCCTCAAATATATCTTTCACAGACAAAACGGAGAACCACATCCGTTTCATGTTAATTCCAACTGGATACCACTGGTTCAACCTTCTATTGCCCTTGAGAGCGACTAGGAAAATGTCAAAACACAACTTGCGGAGATTACTGTAACTAAGCCAAAAAATAATTCGTCACGCAATGAGGTTATGGCTTTAAAAGAGTTGAAAAACAATTCTGTTTTAAACTTAAAAAAAAAGCAGACAAAGGTACAACAGTCATCATGAATAACCACAACCTCTCAAAGCAC